GCAATGTAGAATGTTACATGCAAATTAATTGTATATCAAAATGATTGGACGTTACTTAATAATTGTGACTAGACAGCTTTAATTTCTATTAGCAAATTCGTACAAGCGAGCAGAAAACTGCTGTGAATTCAGTATTTCATGAATTGCGAAAGTTATTTAATTTAATAAAAAATAACGTGTCAGATGGAAAATGTCTCTCAGGGATGCATAAAATACTTATGGTCTGAATCACAGGTGGTTGTGAATTGGGCGCTGCCTCGAATTTAGGACCCTCCACAACCAATGTGAATTCTCCGCTCAACGTCCATTGATCCCAATTTCTCCGTAATGTTCGGTTCTTGGTCCTCCACAGCATCCGCCCTACCGCGAAAACTTTCAGGGTCTTGATGCGCCGTGTCTTGGCGATTCGCAATGGAAACCGGCGATAGCAACTTCGGCGTAGACACTTCGCCCATCGTTCCTCCTTGCGATCCAGAGCAGCTGTAGAAAGCAGACGCCCCATTCCAGACGGTGTTCGCATCGTGCAGATAGAAAAAGTTTCTCTTCCTTTGGTGATCTGAATGGTAAACAGAGTGCATTTTTGTCACGCGGTTACGCTATCACCGGAAATATCGAGAGTTCGATCGAATGATGTTACAGTACCACCATCATTTGCGAAAGGTGCCAGGAAAAAAAGTGAAATGCGCACATTCTATAACAATTCCAATTTGTTGTATCACACTTTCTTAAACCGATCGAGTGTAATGATTCTGCATTATTTATATATAATGCAAATATTTTATTATTGCATATTCTCGTTCTACGCTTACCGACTTAATTCTCATACTCGGTGTATCACTGCTTACAAACAACTGGCGTCTTGCGTCAGCAAATCTTCAAGAAACATGCCGCCTGCTATTAAATTAATTATATTATTTACGAGTTTTTTATGGAACCTTTTACATCTTTTGGGATGTTAAAACTGTTGAACTGAGTATCCGTATATCCTCACTTCGTTATTGCGGTATTCGCGAAGACTGCTTTTGATAAAATGTGTAATAATTTGGTGTTATACAAGAGTGATTTATGTTGTTCTTGAGCAGTGTGCATGGTACTTTTTGGAATAGTTTTGTTTAGTAGCATTCGTGCTGCTGAAGGCCGCAGATATATCCGTTCATAGTAATAGAGAAACGTCGTTAGTCACGTTTAGACCACTCCCAGACCGCCAATCCTTACAAAGGTATCAATAGATGTCTCGAGATTCCTGGTGGGGAAATGTTCATTTTCTGACAATATTTTGAGAAGTTTTTTTTTAAGAACTTTCTTTATAAAAAGGCGCTTTTTGTTTAGAAGCAACTAAACCCGAGTTTTCGGCAGAAACTGCAGAGATCATTTGCCTAGCTCGACCACTTAGGAAAAAATAAAAAGAAGAAAAAGGAAGGGAAAAAAAGAGGAAAAACGTGGAATGCGCATGCGCAAAAAGTGGTGGAGGGGAAGGTTTCCTCTCTTTGAGGCTCAACTTCCCCGCCCTGAGGAGCCACCCCCACAGCTTCGGCCTGGACGGGCGGGGAGAAGACAGCCTGGCCTTGACGAACGTCCAGAACCCTAGTGCGTTGAAGCGTTAGAACAAAGTTGCAAGAGCTAATCAGTTATCGTTGCAGGCAGTACTTGTTCAACTGAGCTCCCCTTCTTGAGCAGTGGGGGATGCCTTAGCCACGGCTCCTGAAGTAAGCGACGCCATGATGCTTTTTTTTCTAAGTGGGCGAGCTATAGCTCATTCTATTTCTCTGGACAAAACAAATTGATTCGCACAATTTTAGGCGGGTCTCTAGAATATTTTGGAAGAATTTTAGACAAACTTCCTTTTTTTGGTTTGTGGTGTAGAGTATTGAGCGAGCTGCTTGTCATGGTCATGAAAAATGTTGATAGGGGAACCAAGCAAGTACAGTTTGATGTATGAAGAAAATGATTTCAGTAAACTTGGAAAATAAAATGGCATAATTTAATTAAATATTGTTCGAAGATATCAAAAGGAAGTGCAAGCAACATCGTCAGCAATTTTACTATAACATATTTGTATCATCAGGCTTCAATGCAACTACTATACTTCTACAGTGGTGAAACGCAGAATATTACTATACGTTCTTGCAATGTTTACAAGAATTATTACTAAATTCATTCGATTGACTAAGTATATTACAATTTTGTAATGAAACAAAAAGATAGTATTTTAATCGGCACTTTCATGTAACTGTCTGTGCCTGAAAAAGGGACGAGTTAGTTGAAAGCTTATTTTTATTAACTTCCAAAGCATAAACACGACTTCATAAAATGAAAATATCCTACTATATTCTATTTTAACCTCACCCTGAGGCATCAGACTAAACTAGAATATAACATTGAAGTTCGGAGCTACTACCAAAGAAAATGCATTTTTTATAGCAGTTCACTTCATCAAAGCGTTTGAGTCCCTAGAATTATTTCCTGAAAACAAGTTTAAAGATTTGGGAATTAAATAACAGCCACATTCACAAGACGTGTTCCTTCAGATGTTACGAAATCACTATGTATTATGCAGGGATGGTTTGAGTGCAGTTTGTCTTCGCAAACACTGTAAAATTCACGTTCTCTATATTAAAATAATGAAACTAGAAATGTAACTTGATTTTACAATTAGAGGTAAATGTTGGACGCGGAAACAAGACGTGCTATAACGGTTTTAATTAAGTGGATTTTTAAATAATTAAAATTATTATAGTCCGCGGATTGAAAGCAGTTTTTTTTTAATTGCCATATGATATTTATTTTCCAATTTATTCTACTCCATAAAAATAAATGGATGGATTTATATTAAAATACAAGTAACTAGATTCTTGGCACAATGTTAACATCTCTAAATACTTAGACATTTCTCATAAAAAAACTATATACATTCTCGTACAAAAACTTAGGAAAGTGTATACATGTCTTTCCGTTACCTTTCGACATTTTTCGCAGCATTAGATAACTTTTTCTTGTACTACTTGTATTACTTCGTTTATTACTCGTATATACGTAGTACGTATATTAGCAAGTAAAATGGCAACTGTCTCAGTGGCTTAACATTCAGGCCCGCAAGGCCCTCAATGCGGGTGGGCCGGAAAAGGGGGGGATATTTTTATTAAATTCAGGTACTAATATACAGTTATTATTTGCTACACACTTTAGTGTTTGCTACACACTTTTATTAAGGGGTCCCGAATAAAAGTTTTACGGGCGGACCAGCACTCATTTAGTTACGCAACTGGACTGTCGCATTGGTAAATGCTATTTATTATTATTAATTTCTCTACTATGCGGTACAAGACATTGTGACTTTGTGAGTGTTGAACTACCAAACAATCTCGTACGAAAATGTCTTTGGCATACTAATTTCAAAATAAGACCCTTTTCCTCACTTAGGGCCGGTTTCACCGACAGCCGAGTAAAGTTGAGAGTAGTTACCCGAGAGTAAGCATTTACTCTAAGATAGTAACTTTGGAGTAAAATATGAGCGTTTCACCATGCATCTAGAGGGTTATTTTACTCTAGAGTTTAGGGGCAGATCTAGCCGATCATTTTGGATGTGGTCATCGTAGACATTTGTTAAATTATAAGTATATTTGTTAATATACTGTATATTATTTATGAACTTTTGATATGATCCTATACAATATTGTTTAATTTATTACGTAATTCAAACATAAATAAATTTTTAAACAAATTTTGCCAAATAAAGGAAGATGACGAAATCTGTAGGCCTGGGCATGGCGCCCGTCCCATCGTATCGTCCGTGAACACTTGACTCACTCTTTGGCGACATCTGGGCAGTAAAGAAGAAATGTTTTTTCTTTTCTCTCTCTCTCTTCCGCTCTCTCTTCTCTCTCTCTCTCTCTCTCTCTCTCTCTCTTTCTCTTCTCTTTTTCTCTCTCTTTCTCTCTCTTTCTCTCTCTTTCTCTCTCTTTCTCTCTCTTTTCTCTCTCTTTCTCTTCTCTCTTTCTCTCTCTCTTTCTCCTCTTTTCTCTCTCTCTTCTCTTCTCTTTCTCTCCTCTCTTTCTCCTCTCTCTTTCTCTCTCTCCTACTTCTCTCTTCTCTTTCTCTCTCCTCTTTCTCTCTCTCTTTCCTCTCTCTTTCCTCTCTTTCTCTTTTCTCTCTTGTCCTTTCTCTCTCTCTCCTCTTTCTCTCTCTCTTTCTCTCTCTCTTTCTTCTCTCCTCTTCCTCTTTCTCTCTCTCTTTCTCTCTCTCTTTCTCTCTCTCTTTCTCTCTTCTCTCTTTCTCTTCTCTCTCTTTCCTCTCTCTTCTTCCTCTTCTGCTCTCTTTTCCTCTCTTTCTTCTCATTCTCTTTCTTCACTCTTCTTTCTCTTCCTCCTCTCTCCGTGCTCTCTTATCATCTTCTTCTCTCTTCTTCCTCTCTCTCCTCCTCTCTCTTTCTCCTCTCTCTCTTTCTTTCTCTCTCCTCATCTCTTTCTTTCTCTCTCTCTCTTCTCTTTCTTTTCTTCTTCTCTCTTTCTCCTCTTTTTTTCTCTCTCTCTCTCTCTTTTTCTTTCTTCTCTTCTCTCTCCCTCTCTTTTTCTCTTCTCTCTCCTTCTCTCCTTCTCTTTCTCTTTCTCTCTTGCTTCTTTTCTCTTTCTTCTTCTCTCTTTTTCTCTTTCGTCTCTCTCTTCTTCTTTCTTCTGCCTCTTCTTTCTCTTTTCTCTCTCTCCTTTCTCTTTCTCTTCTCTCCTAATCTTCTTCTCTCCTCTCGCTATCTGCCTTTTCCTCTCTTCTCTATCTCTTTCTCTCTCTCTATCTCTCTCTCTATATCTCTATCTCTCTATCTATCTATCTATCTCTCCTTTTTTTTGTTGATAAAATTACATTATTTCATTTCCAAGCAATTGTGAACGCTCCTGAGAGGATCATAAATTAGTTTGATATATCTTATTTTAACTGTTGGGTCTTGGCATTGTAATTTGTATAAAATCCATATAATTAGTTTTGTAATATATTTTAACTCTTTGCAGATCTCCAGTTGGCTGCAGAGCTCGGAAAAACCTTATTGGAACGTAACAAAGAATTGGAAACTAGTTTGAAGCAGCATCAGAATATTATAGAAGATCAGACACAGGAAATAGAAGTAAGGAAGAATTCATTCTATTGAAGTTCATAATAATAAAGCAATCTTACAAATATTCAAAACTTAAAAATTAATTCATCTAGGGTAATGTTGGATATTGTATGCAATAATATCTAAATGTGGAAAAAATGCACTTCATTAATCCCCATAAATATGATCAGTGGTGCAACCATGGATTATGGGAGGAAAATGATGCTGTAATTGTCATGTCTAGTAGGGGATGTTTTCTAATAAACGGATTTTCAAAAATGCTCAATTAAACTATATTTTTATTTGTTGTTTTATGGCTATTCACATTATATTCAATTGAGTTATTTATTGAAAATGTAATGTTGTTAATGGGGGGTGGGGGGTGCATGAAGCCCCAGGAATCTCTCACTTATCATCCCCCAATGCCCCTATTCCCTTGCACCACTGAATATAATTATTTGAATTGTTTTTTAAATGTTTAAAGTGGCAGAATAAAAGATTAAAATCTACATTCTTTTAAGAAAACCTCCTCAAGAACCTGCATTTTAATTTAAACCATTCTCTATTGTATAAATCTCTATTGTATAATATGTACTATTACATACCGCTCTTTCCATCTAATTATTTTCATGGAAGAAATAAAAAATTTAAAAAAGGATAGGAAATGCATGTAATTTTAAAATGATTGATACTTCATCCTGAGGGGGGAACAAATATATAATTGGCTGAATGTTGAGAAAATAAGTACTATATTAAATTGCTATTGTTTGAAAGTTAGTTGTCTGTTGTATTTTTGGCCATAAACCTTTATATCAGTCATATCAGTTATTACTGAATAAATATAATCTAATGTCAGTCATTTCTTAAGAAAATTTTACTTTCTTTATTAAAAATGTGTATTTGATCTAAAGGCCAAAACCCTTAATGTTCGTATGACTTCCATATAAATTTTTTTACAAAATTGTTGAAGTATTTTAACACATTTTCTTTGCTAAGTCAGTTTTTTTCTCTCTTCCTTTTGATGAAAGAATAAGTTGAATAGTCTTATAATAGTGCATAAACATTTTCAAATGAATGTAATTTCTAAAAGATTATAAAATGTAGTTGACAGTACTTCAATGAAAAATCCATTATTCATTACATTATACTACTAAGTTTCTTTAGACAAATAAAGTTCTCTACAAAGAAAATCTTAAGAAATAATTTCAGTAAATATTCACAAATTTTAACAGTATTATATTTATAATTATAATTGATTTAAAACTGGCAAGTTTTAGGACTTTTAAGGGTTATTTCTGTAAGCCTAATTAGCCATATATTTTCTGCCCTATTTAATATTACAAAAGGAAAGCGGCATCGTTCACATATTCAGTTGTAAAAGTGATATTTAATTGCAAATTTATATTGTTGTTGTTGTTATTATTATTATTATTATTATTATTATTATTGTTATTATTGTTATTTATTGTTATTATTGTTATTTATTGTTATTATTGTTATTTATTGTTATTATTATTTATTTTTATTGTTATTATTATTATTTATTTTTATCGTTATTATTATTTATTATTATTTATTGTTTTTTTCAGTATTTAACTAAGCAAACTGCAGCTCTGCGAGAAGTAAATGACTCTAGACTTCGAATTTATGAGCAACTGGAAGTCAGCATTCAGGATTTGGAGCGAACCAACCAAAGACTTGCTGTAGAAAATACTGCTGATAAGAAGCACATAAAAAGGTTTGTATCAGCTAAGAATAAAACAAACACCAGTTTCTAAATTGAATTGATCAAATTAAGTGGAGTAACTGTGCTAAAACTTTAATTTCATTAAATTCTAATATTCCTTTATCTCTGGTTTGAATATATTCCATTTATATTTACAGTTTGTGTTTGACAATTGATTCTCTGGAAGCAAAATGTGAGGAGTTACAGAGATCCATTGATGATTTGTCAGAGCAGCAAGAAAACCGGAAAAGAATACAAGGAAATGAGTCCTCGTTGATCATTCGTACTAGTGATAGTACTGTTCAGAATAACACAGAATCTGAAAAGGTACTTGTTCTGAATTTAGTGATTATTTTTCCTTAATGTGGTGTATTTCATTCTGTCAATAAAAGATAATCTTTTCCAATTTCATAACAAAACGTTAGACTTAAAATATTATAATTCTTACATATTAAATTAATTTCAGAACACACTAAAGTTAAATGGTGTAGATGCCAACTCCAATTCTGATGCTGATGAAGTTGTGAGATTATTAGGACAAATTCGTGAACTAAAACATCAGCGGGCCAAGGAACAACGAAAAGCAGCAGAGTTGGAAGAACAACTTGCGGCTATCGTGCAGGTGTGTCTTACAAACAGAAATATTTTGTAGTCTAAACAATGTGCCCTTTCAGAAACCTTTTTAACACTTCTTGTTTTTTTTTGTAATTGTTCTGTTTAATTGTAATTGAATTTTCACATTTAACAGGAAAACATGACCTTGGAGGAAAAGTTGAATATCATGCAACAGAAGGAAGATGACATGAAATGTTTGCAGGAGGAAATGTTGACTCTAGAAGAAGTGAGGTAAGTTATTGAAGCAAACGTGCTTCAGAATTGCTTTCACTTTTATCTAAATATAAACAGTTTTTGAAAACTTACTTCAAAATTATTTTTCTGAACGTTTTTACAGACAAGGACAACTATGTAGGCGGTGCCTGAGGGCAATTGATACAAGAGGACAGGATGAATTGTCACTTGTAATGGATCGTGAAGATGATGATATCAGTGTTGTTAACTCCGTTACAAGTGAAACTCATTGCAGTACTGTAATGATGCAAATTCAGGTATGTCTTTTCAAAAACGGATTCTAAGAACTCTATACTAGCAAGTAGCAGAAAATTTAAGTCACAATTTGTGAAAAATGTTATTGTCCCTATTATTAATTAATCTTCAAAAGTACTTGAAAAGTAGCAGGAGAAGAGGGTAAAGTTGATTACTTCCCACTTTCCTGGAAATTCACATATAATTACTGTTACTGAAAACAATTTCAGTATGTTGGCAACTCCTGAATATCAATGAACATAATTCATAATATTCTAGTGTTACCAACACACCGAAATTGCAGTAATAATATTATATGTAAAATTCTAAGAAAGAGGAAAGTGAAAGACTTTCCTCACACTGATAGATTTTTTCCCCCCTCTTCTTTGGAACTTTCAATCATCAATTCAATTTTATACTTACATATACGTTCTCCTTTCCAGATAATTTGGTTAATTTTCTCTCAGAACTATTTCTGGAAATTGTCCAGATTTCATCAGTAGCTTTAGTGAAATTCTATGACAATATTTAAATTAATTATGCTAGAATTGTTGTAAAATCATTCTTGTACTTAGTAAAATGTGTAAAATACTTCTCTTGAAGGAACTTTGAAGCATTTTGAAATAAAATAATTCCTCTTTTAAAGTACTTCAAATTCAAGTAAGCAGTGATAAATCTTGGATATTTACTTCACTTCCTTAAGAACTTTGACTACTATTACTACTTCTACTACTCTCTTACTATAAAGAAACAGGGTCCTGCATTTTAGAGACCGACAAGACTGTTTGACTAACTTTTATCTGGAGTTGATTACATTTTTTACATTGAATGTCTTAATTTTCAGGGAAATAATATTTCTACAGGATTTCAAAGAATACAAAATATCCCCTTGAAACACTTTCTCAATGTTTTTGTTCTCAGGCTCTGCTAGGTATGAAGTCTCTGCAAAAGATTGTGCATTACTTTTCGTCAGGAGAGACTGTTTTTTCAGTTGTATTTCATACTAGTATAACAGTAGCCATATTTGTGCAAAGATATATTCACTCTTTTTGGGCTTCTCATGAAAAACGGATACCAAAAAGTTATGCTTATCATGGCAAGTACTGGAAGGTTTTTGTGTATTTTTGCAAGTGAAGAAAGAAAAAAAAAAACATACTGTAATGACTGACTGAGTTGACATTTGTGAAAATAACACATTTTTTGCATGTTTGAAATGCTAACTATTTTCTCCAGCCAATGCATGAATGCTCTTGAAAGTAATAAAATTGATGAACTTACTTTTTCAAAATGCACTGATTCAATTCATTAAAGGAAGTTTCTTTATATAACGAATGGTATCCATTACTTCATTCAAATGTTTAACCAAGTTCTGAATCTGTCCTTTAATATTTCTTTAAAGGGAATAGTTTTGTGCATAGTTTATTACTAAGCTGTTAAGTTAATTTCATTTGACTCTTGAAGTTTGTGTGCGAGTATATTAATATTATTTAACACATGTCAATAGTTCATGTAAAATTAATTATCTATCTCCTCTATAATTTTTGGCAATGTTGGAAATCAAGAAAAGACATTTTTTTTACAATTAAAATACTTATCATGTGTGATAATATGCAGTCTATTGTATAATTATAGGTTGTTAATTATAATTTTCTGATGTAAAGATCTTTTTGTCTATCGATATACTCCCAGAATATTATAATTTGCAGCAGCATAGAGACATCTCAGCCTGAAAGAACTTACTATAGATTTAAATTTTGTTAAATACAGGTGTTTTAAATAATATAATGAATTCCTTTGTAAATTGGGATCAATAAATGGGAATTTCCATAATTGTACAGAATAAGTAAATAAATAAATCTTAAAAACATCTACTTCTCTTAATTAATCTGGAAAACTTTTGTTGCAGAACATTGAAGAACACCATGACAATCCATATCGTATATTGGTGGAGAAATATGAAGCATTACTCGAAATGCAAAGGCATCCAGTGAGCCGCCAGCATTCTGCAGCAACGAGCAACAACTGTCTTTCCTTGCAAGAAGAGCTTCAGCTCTCTGGTGATTTCGGTAGTTTTACTGGAAAAGAAGATCCAGAAAGTGAACCAGAACCTGAACCAAGTGAGACTTGCAAAACCAACAAAAATCGTAAAGACATTAAATCCAGTGCAGGCAATGGAGAAAAGGCCTTTTCGTCAACTACACCAACTGACTTTTCTGAAGCTGAGACTTCCTCTTCTGGCTTCTCCGATGAAACATCTAACAAGGGCACACAAACTGAAGGCCACCTTCTTCCTCCTGGATCATTTTTATGCTCTATTGCGGACGGTGATGACTGTCGATTTAGCATTTATGATGATGCAAGTCCAATCGAAAGTCGTTTCCGTAAGACCCCAGAGTATCGCCAATTGTTCCGGGAAATTTTTGCGGTTTTAAAGAGGGCGGCTGAAGCTAAAGACGAAGGTGAGCAGCTGCCTCTGTTGGAAGACTCCACCCCAGTAATTGAGGTTCCAAAAGTACCTCCCGCAACCCCTCTCAAGGAGGAACAGCCATCTACTTTCACTCCTGAATCCACTGCTCCAGAAAAGAAAAAGGAAAATGGCAGGAAGAGCTCTCCAGAGAGCAAAAAGCAAAAAGTGCCACCACAGAGAGCAGCACCCTCAAAACCTAAACCAGAAATTTCTGAACCTGTTGAAAAGACCAATGAGCTTCCTGCCAAAAACGATGCAGTGGAAGAAAGTACCTCTCAAGAGGAAGAAAGAGTTGAGGAAATTAAATCAAAACAGGCTCCTAAGAAAGATTATCTAGAGTATCTTTCAGTTGGTATAGGTGTTAAGAAGAAGTCAAATAGAGGAAAAAATTCTCCCATGAAAAATCTGAAAGCTTCTGTGCAGGAGAGGGTTCAGCGATTGGAACAACTCAATTCTGTAGGAATTGGAATGTCTTTCACAAACAAAACCTACAAGAAACGAAGAGATGGACGTCATATGGATTATTCTTTCGATCGGTCCTCATCACCTTCTCTTTCTGGCCCAAATGGATCCTACAGGAATGATGAGAATCAGAGGCAATCTCCATATTCTTGTTCCTCAAATTATGAAAATTCTTGGGAAGTACAATCTTACCCTAGTGCTGCATCACAGGAAGTGGCTAAATTAAAACGGCTTGAAAAATCTTATGCTGAAGTTCTGAGATACGGGCCCCAAAAGACAAATAGGCCTCACTACAGAAAGTAATTCAATCGTACAACCATGGCCACCAGCAGTGTTCTGTGTCTGCTTCACTTGACTTCTGTGTTCTCATTGTACAGTGTGAACAGTAACACAAACAAGATGTGAATGTTTCCCGTAATATTGTAAAGTATATGTCGAACGTGTTTGTAGTGTGAAAGTGTGTGGTTGCAAGATAGTGCCAAGGAGACCCTTCGGTATCAACCTTGATATTCTCATGTAAATAACATACATAAAAAAATTCTCGATCAAATTACAATGTCAGTGATATTAAAGGGTCAATCGTGGATTAAATTTAATCTTCGGTATATTATTAAATGTGTTAAATAACCTGATGTTCAGTGATTGTTTAATTCTGCACGTCCTTCTGCACTTCTGTCACTGTTAACGTGCTCCATGCAGTGCCTACCTGAAAATAAGAAGTTTTAAATGTAACCTCGATGTCTCTAAGGAACAAATGAGACAAATCACTCATATAATTGCCACAAAATGGATTGTCCTCCCTCAAAATTTACAATATATGAAATATGTTCATCTGACAGATGCATGGTAAAAGCATTGATATTATATAGTCAATGAAAAAATTGTTTCTTGTATTGGAGAAATTTGTTAATGGTATCAATATCAATACCAGTATTAATCATTTTAGAATTTGTATATAGTGAGGACCCTGAATCTGACAGTTCAAATGTAGATGAAGTTGCCAAATGGGGATATAATTTTTCAGATATTCCTTTTTTGGTGAGGAATCAAATGCTCTTAGGTCATTTCAATAAATTTGCTTTTTCAATACATTTACTATCTGAAAAGTAAAGAATTAAAATTGGTATAGACAACAGCTATGGTACTGAACTTCCGTATTTGAGTAGCATAAATGATTAATTATGATAAATTTAAAATGTTCATGTCTTGTAATAATTCAGTTTTAAAATCATATATTAGAATTTTACAAATGAAGCATTTAGGTCACCAAGTATAATCACTGTATCTTAGTAATTTACAGAATATCTTTGTATCTCATTGCTATATGTTACACGTTGACTCTTACATTCTATTCTGCTCAGATTGGAAATTTAAGACAACATGCTCTCAACTTGACTCATTGAAATCATGTATATAAATCACAATGTATTTAAAACAGTGCAAAGAAAATATTAGAAATCTTAAATTGCATTTTAGTTGTTGCACCCTTTTCATTTATATTGTTATATTGATAGCCCTAACAAAATTCCTAGATACACCATCTATTAGAATTCTTTATCTTCTGTTTGTTTTTACTCAATTTCTGGTTGAATTCAGTTTCTCATCCAAGCTGTCGAAGTTTTTGACCTTTCAAATTTTCAATTTTCATGGGAAATAGTTCATTTTCCTCCCTTCAGTTAGTAAGGGTAGTTTTTGATAATTCTTTTCTTTGACTTAACATTTCTGAACAAGCTTTGATTAACTAATTGCTTCTTTTCAGGTAACACAAAATTTTGTACCTTAATTTTAAAATTTTTTTAAATGTTAATTTTCTTCTTTAAAGCTTTATTTTTAAAAAAATGTAAAGTTGTGATTTTTTTAAAAAGATTTATCATTTTAAGAATGAAAAAACAGTATTATTTATTGCTATAATGTCATAATAAGATTCAGAGCATTATAACCTAATTTGTTGGCCCCATAGATTGCATAAGAACATTCAAAACTTTCATTCAAACACTAAGATTCAATTCTGTAGAATATTAAAATGATTTGAATATAATAAGAAATACCAATTACAGCTAAACCTTATTACATGGTAAGCAGAGTTGGCAACTTCCCCCCCCCCCTCGCCTTCATTTTAAATAACCCTAGGGAAAAAAAAAAAAAAAAAAAAAAAAAAATTAAAAAACCCCAAAATGTGCTCATTACATCCCTAATTTTATGGAACAAAATAAAATGCAAATGGAAAATAAAGTAAAATGTGTGTGTGATGGTAATAGCAATTAGTTAATGACTGATAAAGTTCACAAAGGAACTGCAATGAATAATTGTCTACATTTATTAAAAATTCAATGGCCATTTAGTTGAATATTGCATGTAATCCGAAGTGGAGCTATGTTCTCAAAGACCAGGCCACTCCATTATTTGGGACTGCAGGTGCTCTCATTTGGGGCCCTTGACTAAGCCTTGACTGAGGTGACCCCAGTGTCATGCACCAGCTACACTACTGCATATAATAGAATTTAAATTGGGCACCATGATTTCTTTTGTAAGTATAAAAATTTTTATGGAAAAATGAAATGATTATCATTAAATATTTTCTTTCCTTTTGGGCTGGAATAATTATTAATAGGAAAGGGAGTACATGACACTCTTTATCATATATACAAATGTCTTCATGATTTCGTATACTTGACAACGATATACTTGAAAAATACTTTCGTATACTTGAAATTGTAGTATATAAAATGTACATAGTTTTAAAGTTTTAGCAAAAATAATTGCCATAATTGTATTATTTAAAAAATTATAACACAATTTTTAAATCATTTTGAATTGGTATTCCCCAAAAAGGTTATTATGTATACTTTTTGTAAAATGTTTAGTGACAACTCAAAAGATCTTCAAATGGAGGTAGAACACACTACTGTTGTAATTTTCAGATATTGATTAAAGATCATGTAAGCAATAATTGAGAGGCATTATAAAAGATCTTTATAAAACAAGGACAGGAAGGACACTGAGGGCAGGCTTGTTAAATTTACTCCAACATTTTGAGGAGTCACTCAATAATGTTCTAAAATGATATTTTTAAATCTAAGATAGGAGGAAAAGCAGATGAGGTTGGAGCCAAATATAAAAGGTGAGGTACACTTAACTTTATATTCCCCACTATTACTTCTTAAAAACTGCTACTTCAAAACTTTCATTTACATTTAAGGAGAAACAAACTTTCCAAATTCTTTCAATTTTGTCATTTGGTTAGAGAATATTATACTATCTAAATGGTAAGAACACAGATAAATTTGAAGATATGGAAAGTTTTCCATTATGAGCAAAATTAGAACTGAGAAGCACCTGAATTGTTCACTGGCTGTGCTATAAAAATAACTTGTCTTCAGAAATTCAGAATACTTCTTATGTATTTCTTACGTAAGACGTATTATGAATTTTCTAAATTGCAAACACTTTAGATTCAAAGATTATGAATTTATTTAAGACAATTCATTGAAGTCAATGTCACTTCAAAATGTTACAAATGAGTTTAATGAAAGGCGAGATGAACCAGCAGATGGAGACTAAGATTCCTAAATATTCAGAGAATTAATCAAGAAATCTTGGACATTCTTTTTAACCTTGAAAGTTAAACATCCATGTGTTCCAGTTCTGAAATACATTTGTATTGTACTTCCGTTTCCAGGTTAAGAGAATATTGGTTCCTAATCATTCTCGACAATAATGTACACACTCGTTACAGTTTGGAATCCACAGGTTAGATGAATTTCTTAAATTTTAAAAATATAATATTATTTATTTTACCGTATTCAATGTTAGGTTTGTTTTTAAATTGAATTGTAAAGTTTAGGAAACTTCTATTGATAATATGAACATTGCTTGATTAAGTATTATACCAATAGTGAATGCTTATGCACACAGTTAAATGAATTGAAGGCCTGCAGGTACACAAAATATGATTTTTTGGATATGATGTCACACATGATGTTACACATTATTGAGTATATTCAGAAGGAACATTGTGGTGGGTAAAATAATTTACAGATGGAAAAGAAAGCAAAAACACCTTTCGTTTGAAGGACAAGGCACAAATTGTATATTTCATTAACTTTCAGAAGTGAGAAAGTTGCTCAAAGTATTGATTCCTCCTCCACAAATCAACTGGACATAAACAGAATGTAAACAGATAGACTGGGTTGATTTGATTTCTGGCCTGGGAACTTTGAAATTTACTCGTTCATTACAACTTACGTTTAGGGGTGGACTCAGACGATCATTTTGGGGGCCCAGATTTTTCTTAAATAATAAACATATTGGTTATATTGTATATTATTTACCTTACATATACTATACAATATTGTGTAAATTACATAATTCAAACATAAGTAATTATTTAAATAAATTTTGCCAAATAATGGGAGGTAAAAGAAGAAAACACAGCATTTTGGAGGGGTGGGAGGGCATGGTCTCCATGACCTGTGTTGGATCCGTCAGTGCTAATATTGCATACTATCGTACATTATTTTTACTGATTTGCTTGAAACACTGGCACAGATTTATTACAAAAGCTGCACTCTTGAACGAAGACTGCATGATAACATGGTCCCAACATGGTCCCAACATGGTTATCAATTACACAGTGGAACGTATTTGACCGTTTGTAATAAAGTAAAAACATACAAAAATCTCTTTTAGAAAGTGTTACGAAACATGTAAAAGAAATAGTTTGCGCATAAAATGTTGCCTGAAATCAGAAGCTACAATTAATAATTTGACCTTTGTTTTTAAACAAAAATACAAAATTAATGGTAGCTTATTCGGGATGATCAGATATTTTAATACTCTATATGCTGTATAAATTATAAAACATGTGTCTACTAGAATTTTATTATGGGGTAGCATTTTAATTTTAAATTTAGAAAATGAGCAAGTTTAAACTTTTAAAGTATATTTCAGAAATGGATTCTCCTGAGGAACTATTGTTTAGTCTATGAAATTGCAAATGTTCTTATTTTTCTCGATCAATTATTTTTCTCTCAAGACCAGATGCTTCAGAATGTTAATGTTGTAAAGTCAATTTTAATTCTGCACCAATCATGGTTGTTTTATGTAATCAAATAGGTCAATTCTACCACACTACTTCAAGTTGTATGATGTTAGAAATGAAATCAACAAGACAGTTAAATTTATGAGTACACATGTACAGAACTGTCTTAGAGCAACTTTCTTGGAACAGAGTAAAATTAACCAATATTTCCCTTTATATAAATTCAAGTATATCAGTTAATTGATCTCGTGCTAAATCTAAACTACAATGAACTTAGTAATCAAAATTTATATATGGCACTTGGTCAGCACAGGGGCCATTGAGAAAAATTTATTCAATTTGTTGAACTGAATATACAATAATGTTAACTTAATAGTTGGTATTTATTAAAATAAATGTAGTAAAAAGTTAATTGAACTATCCTGTAATGTTTTGGACAGGCTGTTTATCATTACTACAAAAATATTAAATTTACAAAATAATGAAGTTTTTTTGGTCAAAAATGTATGGGAATCTTATGTTGTTTCTTATGTAAATAATTTTTAGTAAATACGTCAATTTTGTGTGATTTATATACCTTTTTTTTATAGCTAAATGAGTATGGGTATGGGTATGGGCCCAGATGAGTTGGGCCCAGATGTTTTTCGGCATAAATCCATAAACGATACTTACATACGATACGAAAATACGAACCTTTTATGATATTGTTGGAAGTTTAGATAGAGTATGGGCGTCTCGCCAGGGGGGAGGGGTATATTTCCTAGCAGCCGCCGCCGTAGCGCGACGCCGTCATCGTGGCTGCAGTCGTTTCCTCTTCACTGTTACAGGAAGGCAGTTGAATTGACAGTTACGCGTAAAACAATGATTTACAAAGTGCGTAATGATCGCGCGGGTTAAATTAATAATGCACATTATATGCTATCTGAATATCTACAAAAATAAAACTCTCCCGAAATTTTAGTCTTAAAGGCGTATTAAGTATCAATTTTGGTATTAAAGGCGGGAGTTTGGTAGGGACACATTTACATACAACGTTGCAACACATTTAATTTAGTTAAACCCCAACAAAACATGGGTGGTTGGGATTTATTTCGTTACGTGCGAATCGTTTGTCTGAAGATACTGTAGTGAAACCGCTTACATTCGTTGCATCACACATTCTAGTTTGTGCTTGTACTTGTACTTTCAGTGTTGGTTACTTCATTTTTCGCATCCGAGTATAGTCGTTAACGCTATCGATGCAACTGAAAAAAGAAATATTCTGCAGTGAAGACAACTAGAAAAAGCAGTTGTTTCATAATTTAACATTTTTTACGTACATCGTTCATTTTCCTATGTCTGTGTCCTCCTTCACATCTGCTCAGGCCCAAATACCAGTGAGAAAACTGCCTAGATAGAAGAAACTCTTAGTTTATAGCAACAATGTTAAAACGTGTCGCACATAACTTTCGTTACATAGTCTTCATTATAGTTCAAGCGCAGCATCTCAATTTCTGTTTCACAAAATTGAACTCTCCGTAAGGCTGGGTTACTCTAATTTCTCTCTTGCGAAGTCTGTTAACCGGACTTCCTTTCATGTCCATTTCGGGAAATAATTACTGTGTTCTCAGCTGTAGAATGAGCAGATATACGGAATATTGTAAAAATGTAGAATGGGCAGATATACGGAATTTTCCCGGAGCGGCAAGACCTTATCTTCTTTCTCAAAAAAAGGTAAGAAAAAAAATTAAGTGCTATTGCTCTTAGCTAGATTTATTAAGCAAATCACTTTATAATAACCACTTGAATATGGTCTCGTATCACCAAATTGATATTTTTTCCGCCACTTACGAACTGAAGTAACGACTCGATAGGCGTGGGCACCAAAGGGGGAACGTCGTCTTCCTGGAAATTTCTGAGTTTTCGTTTTTTACTTCCTTTATTTAGTAATATTGTATATTATCGTATATATACTACAAAAATAATATACAATGTAACAACAAATGTTTATTATTTAACTTACCTATGATCCCCCCCCCCCGCGCGCTCGAGAAAAAATATCGACTGGATCCGCCCTGGTAGGCA